GTCAGGCCTGTGAGGAGGAGTATGATGCATCCCCCGGGAAAAGGTTCTTGAAATAGCAGTGCACTGGTGAAACACTGCAGCATCCTCACACAAGTGCAAAGGAGGTAGGTTTGAAATGTGAAAAGGACTATTTACTACGAGCTTTTTGCCAGAATGGTCACAGAGGAAATAATACTGGCAATCTAGTGATCCCTGTTTCTGTCAAGGAGAATTGTTGTGTTGCTGTCTCTGAAAGCTATTGTTTCACTCTGTTTCCACATTTGTGAAGACTATATCCTTCTAATTTCTTCAAGATTGTGTTTGCAGCTATAACAACTAAAAAGTCTGTTATAAAAACAAAAGTTAAATTTCTGGAACACAGAAATTTAGCACAGTTGTGGGTTCCACAGCCTCAGAAATGCAGAACATGGCATCCACGTGTTCTACTGGTGAACTTCTGTGAATATGCATTAACAGCAGCATTTTTCCTTGTTTTGGTATATTGTATGTGTTGCAATAAACTTTTAAGCCAGAATTTTTAAATATCCTTACTTTTGTTTTGGTTTGTTTTTTTACCAAAGTATGGGTTTGTTTCCTGTGTTTTTGCAAGCATCACCTACGCAAGTGTGTGCCACATCTGATGTTTGCCTGGAGCTCAGCTTCAGTGCTCTGGTGAATTTTTAATATAAAAAATATATTTCTGCCAATTTCTACAATGTAGACTCAGTTGTATTCCAAGAAGGAAAAAAAAAAACCAAAAAACCAACCAAACAAAAAAACCAAAACCCATGAACAAAAAAACCATCTAAACACTTCACTTTGCACCTTGGAGCATTTTACTTTGTATATTGCCAGTCTTTCACATTCATAGCCACTGCTTCCGTACCCTTACCACCATGAGGAAGCTGATATCTAACTGATACTTTTACTTTTCCACAGAAATTTAGTATCAGATGCAATTTTATAGGTGAAATACCATGGTAGGAAAATGATAAAATTTTAAGTATGCAAAGCTGTGATCTCTGGAAGGGTAATGTAACAGGGGTCATAAACAGTAATATAATTTGTAAAATCTCCCTATATAGGAATTGATATCTCACTGAAGTCAGATTGAAAAGAAAGCCTTGAGGGTCTGGCTGCATTGCAGAGACTGTCAGAATATGTAAGTGAGGGAGTTGATGGCTAGAGAAATAAGATGGGATGCACGGGACTCTGAGCCGTGCGGAGATGGGGAGACACAAGAACGGATTTAGAGCTGGAATGGAAATGAACTTTCTTTTCACTGGGCCTCTCATGTTACCCACACATTAGTCTTTACTCATACTACCTTACATGTCAAATGTGTCTAGGGTGAAGAGGAGGGAGTGAAAAATAGTTATGAAACAGATGAAATAAATTCTTTGGTATTAGTAAATATCACAAACTTTCCTCCTGTTCACGAAGTCATACCAATTATAATTAAGAAAAACTTTCCTGTTGGTACTAGGCTGCTAAAAGGGAGACCTAGACTTCTAAATGTAAGCCCTGTACCCACACATTTCTGAAGTCTACATGAAATAAGAGGTTTTTTTGGAGTTGGGATACATGGAAGGAGATAGAGAAGAGGGAAGAACAAGCCTGGGAAGACGTGTGCTATTTCTGATTTTGGCCCTGTGAAATTTATCAGGGAAAGGGTAAAACTTGCTGTATGTCAATGTCCTAATGTGGCTTAATCTTGATTTGACACTTTAAATCTTTTCTGTAAATCCATCTCATATGGGATAAGCTGTGGTTGCCAGAGTCTAAGTGTTGGTGGCATCTCTCTGCATTTTTGGTATTAAAATACAGGTTGCTTGCAAACATGCTTGGTAAAACTCACTGGGTCAACCTGCTGTTCTTCCTTTTGCAGCAGGTAAGGTATGCCCCTTGCAGTTTTACCTTGTCTGAATACATATAGAAGTTCTGGAACTCCGGAAGGGAAAATGTTAATTCACCTTGATTTGGACCCCTCTATGTGATGGCTACGTAGGCCCTTGGCATTCATTTCTCTCAACTAGTTCCTTGCAAGTCTGAGTTTCAGTGACATCGTTTGTAGCAAAGGGACATGGTGCTGACTTATTACTGGGTTGGTTTGATTGTGTTTGTGCTTAGAAAAGGAGTATTAATTGTGGATGATTAATCTGTATGCTTCTACACTGTTTTCAGTAACTTTTCTTCCACCTGGAAATAGCATTTTTCTAACGTTAACAGAAGTACTGTGTCTGCCTCGTTGAGGTTATGATTGTTACATTTATTTAGATGAACATGTCTGTGGCTGGTTTTTCACGTTATCCAGGAGTAGCATTAGCTCAGCAGCTAAGTCACTTCCTTGCAGCACTGAGTTGGTACAATTTTCTCTTTATTTTTCTCAGTGAAGGTACTGTAAGCAGTATTTTAATTTTGATGTTCAAAGGGCGTATGGCAGGCAGTGGTTGTGAGGAAAACCAGTATCACGTGCCCTAACAAAAGATACGTACGTTTCACCCGTTTCATAGGATATTTGCACATTATTGTGCGATAACTTTTGTATTTATTGCCCGCCGCGTGAGCAAGTGAAAAGAGCTGCGAACGGCGCAGGCCGCGAGGCTGCCTGCTGTGTCCGGGTGCCACCACGAGATGGGGCCGGTGACGACGGGGAGGGGAGGCTGCGGGGCCGCGGCAGCCGCGCGTCGGCCTCCGGCTGCCGGCTTTGCGGAGAGCCGGGGCCTAAATCTGGAAAGACGGGTTCGGGATCGAATGACAAGCATTTCTAGTCAGTTCCTTCCTCCTTTCCTCTGGTCGTTTTCTTAGTACTGCCCTTTGCATCTGTGAAGATGAAGTTTGCTTTGTTTTTTTAAAGTGTTTAAAATTATTTAAACGCCTGAAAATTCTTTTCTGGAAAAAAAAACAAACCAAAACAAAACCAACCCCTTTTTTTAGAAATGAAATGAATATCCAAAGTGCCATAGAACTCTAAAAACTAAATAACTGATTTATGCCAATTGCCTGCCTAGCCTGGTTCAAAAGTATAAAATAGAAAAAAAAAAATCGCTAATACATGAAAAACATTCTTATTTTTTCCTTGAAAAAATAAAATGTATTACGTTAGCTTAGTTTTCGTTTATTGAAAATTTTACTGGGATTTCCCTCCCCAGAGATTTTAGCTGTAAGTAGAAGTTTTTCTTTGAACTGGTTTAAACTAAGGCCCTCTTTCTTGTCACGCACAGACAGGGAAATACTGCAAGATGCTGGATTAGCTTGTTCGCTTTTCATTGTTTTCTTTTGTAGCAGCAATCCGTTTAGCTATGGTATGCTGAGTTTATCTGATTAGCACTTAATGAGTGAAGGGAATAGGGGAAATGTTGCCTGAGTTACTTAAGCCTAATGAAGTTTTCAGTACCTTCCCCCTCTTTCTAAATACCTGAACTTTCCTGACCCCCACCCCTTGCTTTTTCCCTCATTTGCAGCTGGTTCCCATATGAAATGTGCTCCCCCAGCAGCTTTGACTGTCAGAAGTAGTGGTGCCATTGGCCAGATTTTGTTCAGTGCACATTGGTCACAACATACATCCTGCTCAACAGTGTTTGACAGTCTGTCTGGAGCTTTTACAAATTCAACTACTCTTGTTATGCTGACCCACATATGCCTTACCTGGGAACACTTCACTGACTAAAAATTCAACAAACTGTAGCATGAGTGTTTCTAACTTAAAACCATTAGATATAACTGTAAGCAATAAAATTATTTCTTTAGTTATGTTAGCAGTAACATTTCAATGAGGATTCACTGGAGCTTGAATAATTACATTAGATAAAGAAATTCAAGAAAGCTGAGGTTTAGTAATGCTTAAAAACTTATGTGCCATACAGGTTGCAGGTCTGTTACTATAATTAACTTGATAAGTTTCTTGCATAACTCTCATGTTTTCCTCTGGACTTCAACTTGATTTCCCTCTTTTAGGATTAATTTTTATTTTAATTTGATATTGCATTGTAAAATTTTTAATACAAAAGCAAAGTTCTGAAAAATTTAGATAAATTATCTGTATTAGTTTATGCCACTTAAATATATCTTTGGTGGTTCTGCAATTTTTATACAGAAATGCAAAGTTACCTTAATACCAATGAAAATACATCCAAGGAAAGTACAATTGACATCTGTGCATGAGATTGCTTATGCATAGTAGGTTCTATAGCACTTGTAATAAAGAAAAAGCAATAGAAGTTTAGGTGGAGTGTCAGTAAGATAATAGCATTGCTTAGAAAATCTGAACCTTTATAGGTAGGAACCTCTGAAAATATTTTCAGTTATACCTGCTTAACAATACAAATTTTTAATAGAAATGATCTCACATTTCTTTTATCACTGTCAGTGTCCCCAATTTATAATAATAATAATAGTAATAATAATAATCTTAGTAGTAGGCAGCTAGTAATAGCAGTAATGATTCTGTTAGAGCAGAATGTGTGTGTATGTTTTAAAATAATTTTAAAGATATTAGAAGAATGCTAAAGGTGCGGGAATGCACCAAAATGCTTGAGAGTGGTAGAAGATGACTGTGAACGATTTTTGAGGTCTGCACAGCTTCCTGCTGAGCACACCCCAAGGATTTGCCTTCCCAGGTGAGGTACTGCAGCTGATGGTGTTAATGTTCCCAGTGCATTGCAATGCAGAGCGCAATGTGTCCAGTTAAACGGCTGTCAATGTTGGAGCAAGTCTGGAAGTGTTGCAGTCTGATCTAAATGGTAGAAATATTGGAGGAGGAATCCCTGTTTTTTCATTTCACTGACAGCCCAAACAGTGTCACTTAAACTTCTTGTTTTCATTATTGTATTGTTTTGTTTTGGGGTTTTTGTCTGCTCCTGAATGCGTACAGCTCATGCCAAACTTCTATCCAGCCATCAAGATGGAAGAAAAACAGGTGTTAATCTGTGAATTAGGTATTGAAATATTTTGTAATTTGATTCAAAGGTTTATTTAAATCACGAAAAGTATGTGTGTGTGTTTTTCTTTTCCTCTCTCAGGTTTGCAATTATGTGTGGCTATATGTCTCAGTTTGAAAGTGTACAAAACAAAATCAGGAATGGTTATCTCTTTAAGGTATGTTTTTGTAGGGTTTGGGGGTTTTTTTAAGCTATTCCTTTAAATTATTTCCTTATATAGTGTCTAAGACAGATTTTTTGCAACACAGTAATTCAGCCTCACAGGTCTATTTTGGTGCCAATGTTAAAGTGAAAAAGTTATTTTTATGTATGCAAATAGATGATATGCTTACAAAATATAAGAACTAAGGTAGGATTCTGGGAACAGCATTAAGATTTCAGTTTTATTTTGTAGTCAAAGGGGGGAGGAAAATGGAGTGACAATTCTGTTTAGAAAATAAAAACATATGAAATACTAAGTGATGGACTAACACAGTTCTGCAATCATGCTTCATGCCACCCTTAAGAAGTAATATTTGTTTTAACACTGTCCTTTCAAAGGTAATCGTGGTTTTTAGGGTTAGCAGTTTGTGTTACATGTGCTACTCTCCCCCTCCTTGTCCTTGGCATTGCTTAGGTGCTTTCCATCCCTTGCCCTCCGAACCGGCGTCCCCCTTTCTGGGTGTCAGTGAGAGGCAGCAGATGTGTTCCACTTCCCAGGGAATGCCTGGGATGGGTCTCTATCACATCATGTCCATGTTAGGGCTTTGAGTGTCGCGGAGCTTTCCTATGAGAGAGCATTAATTACATCTGAGTTGTGCCAAGTGAGCTAAGCCTGGAGCGCTGGGACAAGGTAGGAACAAAGGGAAAATGACAAATAACAGAAGTGCTGCAGTTGTGTAAGGATGGACTTTAAAAAGAGCCCACAGTGTTAGCAGTAGACTTTTCGGGGAGGTTTTGCTCTTCAGAAGTAATTACTGAAATCTGTGTGAATCATTTGGAAATGTTAAGGATTTGGGAAAATAATAATATGAAAACATAGCTCCTATCTGAATAGTCTGTGGACAAAATGATAGAATAATAGGCTCTTAGATCTGTATAACTCGGATATGTTAGTGACTGGCTTAATTAGAACACCAGAGATATCTGGGGAGGGGGGTTAGGGAAGAAATTTTAGAATTGAAATTTATTTTGAGAGGCAAATGGTAGTTAGGGGTGAAATAACATATTTCTTTTTTTCTTCAAACTCAGGTTGAGCAATAAAAGCTTTCTTTAGTAAATTAAAGAGTGAAATAAAGATACTTATGACCTGTAATGAAAATTGTTTTGGAAGAAGCACATCATAAGAGGCTTTCTAGGTTTTATGGTTTCACTGTAAACAGAATAATTTTATTTTCTGAATTTTACATTATAGTAACAATTTGTTGTGTCATGTACTATTTCATTGGGGCAGTCACATTCCAGGGTGGAAGAGACTATGCTTCAGTGCTGGGTGCTGGCATGGAAGATCTGTCAAAGAAAGTGGTTGCTTTCTCACTGATTTGGTGTGTGACAGTTTCCTAATACTAACTGTAAATAAAATGAATTTAATTGAAGTTGTTGCCTTTTTAAGACAAAAGTTCTAAATAAAGTATGCCTTCTTGCATTGTGTGTAAAGTTGCTAAATAATTTTGTTTATGGTTTCCCTCCATGGGGAAAGGGTTTGCTAGTTAAAATATTTTAGGATGTTAGAAAAGAATTGCAGCAGAAGAGGATTTCTGAATTTGTTTATGATTAACAGCAAACTTAGAATGTAAACACACTTGCCAAACAAACATCTAAAGTGACACTGATTTTCTTTCTAATAGGAGCACCTAGACAAAGCAATTGAACTTAAGCCTCAAGATCCTTTTTTATATTACCTAAATGGAAGATGGTGCTATTCAGTAAGTTGGTTTTTTATCTAACATATGAATTGAGTATACTGAAAAATGATAATGCATTTGAAATGAAATAATGGGACTTAAGACAAAGTACGTGTTTATTGAAGTAGATGTTTTGAGCTAAATGAAGTGGTACATTTACATTTCCTGAATTAACTTCTGCATGTGTGATGTTAACTGCTGACCTTTCCTGTCATGTACTTTAAGTAAGCTGTGCTTGTGTTTCCCTCATGTTGCGTTCAGATTTCCTATCTGAATGTATGAATGAAAAGTAATTGATATTTGGAAGGGAGGAAGGGTGACCTCTGGTATTGTAAGCCTTGATTTCACAGAATCATAGAATGGTTTGGGTTGGAAGGGACCTTAAAGATCATCTAGTTCCAACCCCCCTGCCATGGGCAGAGACACCTTCCACTAGACCAGGTTGCTCAAAGCCCCATCCAGCCTCGCCTTGAACACTCCCAGGGATGAGGCATCCACAACTTCTCTGGGCAACCTGCTCCAGTGTCTCACCACCCTCACAGTGAAGAACCTCTTCCTTAGATCTAATCTAAATCTACCCTTTTTCAGTTTAAAGCCATTAGCCCTTGTCCTATCACTACACGCCCTTGTAAAAAGTCCCTCTCCAGCTTTCTTGTAGGCCCCCTTTAGGTACTGGCTACAAGGTCTCCCTGGATCCTTCTCTTCTCCAGGCTGAACAATGCCAACTCTATCAGCCTGTCTTCACAGGGGAGGTGTTCCAGCCCCCAATCATCTTTGTGGTCTTCCTTTGGACCTGCTCCAACAAGTCAACATCTTTTTTACATTGCTGGCCCCAGAGCTGAATGTAGTACTGCAGGTGGGGTCTTATGAGAGCGTAGTAGTTCTTTATTCTGCCACAAACTTTCTGAGTGACCTTGGGCTAGTAACATAGTTTTTGGTAACTTTATTCCCCATTTATAACTGAAGTTAAAGGCATTTATATGCTGTGGGATTATGTCTGTGGCAGCAAGGCTACCATACTTGCTTGGTAAATTCCAGGAGAATGTCACAACAAAGATGCAGGCATAAAAATCTATAATTCAACATAAAGTTTTGCAAGAGGTACAATTTGTGTTATGCCAACACAACAGGCGCTTTTAAATATTGTGTTAATGACATAGTGATAAGTACTCATATGAAAAACTAGAATAATTGTTTTACAAGGTTAGCTGTTTTTTTTGTTGTTTTTTCTTTTTTTTTAAATGGTGCTTGTGCTTGTAATATGAGAGTTGTCTTATTCTTAAGCCCACATCTTTGATGGCTCAGATGGCTATACTTATTGCTTCATCCTTAGTGCTGTGAGGAATCTTTCATCAGAAGAAAATGTTCTTGCATAGTCTATGCTGTAAAAGATCACTGGGAGGCTTCTCAGAATAATGACTGCTAATGCATAGTGAATTCCAGCCCTGTCTTTTTCCTCCAGCTACTTCCAGTGCTAGTCACTACAAAGTGACTACAAACTGGAAAGAAGGAGTTGCTGTGATACACTGCAGACTTTGTCTTTATCTGCAACAAGACTTAATGCAAAGTAATCTATCAGCAGTTTTTTCAGATCATATATTTAACTTTCAAAGAGCTTTCAGCAACTACATTTTTTCTCAGTTGATTTGAATAAAAAATTACACCAACTTTTTCAAAGAGCTTTTCATTTTGCTTTTTGTCACCTGGTATTCTTGAATATCAGCATTAGCTATGCAAAAGTGAGGTGCCAAAGATTGTCCTACAGTATGCTTGCTGTCCTGCCTTTAAAGAGCATCACTCTCACCAGTGATTCCTTAAGCAGTTTTATACCATGCTGTGTCCAACAGCTGACTGCAGCTTCCATTTATGTCAAACACTCCCAGATCTTTTTCATGGCTTATTTCTCACTTGAGCTATCACTTTTGGAAACTTAACATGTCATCTCAATATACCTCACTTTGTTCTTATTGCACTGCTTTTTTTACTCTTGTTTCATTTTGGTGACAATCAACACTTCCTGACTAATACATGTGGTTTCTTGCACTATATCATTACAGACTCATGTTCCACACTTGCAACATCTATGCAGGGCCTCCTTACTGAACACTGAAGCCACAGATAAGCATTTGCTTTAGGGTATGACCTGACCTGCATTTTATTAAGTGAAACAATCACCTAAACAGATGTAGCCACTGAAATACATAAGGATTGATTTCCTATTTCTCTTTTTCTTCTTCTTTTTTTTTTTTTTTTTTTTTTTTTTTTTTTTTTTTTTTAATTCTTGCCTTCTGTGACTGCCATGACAAAATAGTAAGCTGAAACACTTTGGCCATACACGTGATATAGATAGTCATTGGAACCTGTGGAAGATGTGGCAAATTCCTTGGTCCTATTCTGCAGACTGTGGTGTTTCATGCTGTGGTAATTATCCCAGAAGTAGACTGTTGGCTATGGCATTGGTTCCAAATACTTCTTCAGGGTAGGGATTATGATAGAGTGCTCGAAAAATTCATTTATCACTCCTTCTCTATACTGGTACCTGTAGATGGAGTAATAATGCTCCTCTTAGACTCTCTGTTTTTCCTGTTTAGTCTAGCTGCAGTTGAGGCTGGGAAGGCTGTGTTGTCCAACGTGAGGAAATTAAAGAAGGAAAAGGGATGTCTGAAGAAAGAAGGTTAGTTTTTACATTTAGCCTAGCTGACTTTGGAGTCAAGTTAGGATTGGCCACAATATTTGTTCTTTCGCAAGTGTTACTTCCAGGGCTATTATTGTCTAACTTCAGTCACGTATTCTTTTACTGAAGCAGCGTAGTTAAAAAAGATAGCCTATAAAGTATCGAACACTACTTTTGGTAACGCTTTGGGGAAACCTGAGGTACTTAAGTCTTCCTAGTATGGTCAGACATTTCCCATTAACTCCCCATTTAATGTTGGGGATCTTATTACTATATTCTAGCACTGGGTTTTGGCCTGATAAACTGGAAAAAATAGGTATAGCATAAGAGACTGTAAAAGGGGATGCTTCAAGTGTTATAACTCAGGGTTCCAATTCATTTTCACAAATGACAATCAGCTGAACAGACTTTTAGGTAAAAAGTATAGTGGAGGCAAATGGAGAAGATTTCGTGAAGGCTGAAATCTATATCCAGAGACTGCATGCTGCACTAGTAAAAGCTACTTGATTTGTGGAGTTTTGCCAGAATTTGGCTCTGACTGCCATTTCTCACCTTCCTCAGTGTAACACAGTCCTTTGCAAAGAGCAATGGTACAGCAATGCCAAGTTTTTCACTCAGTATTTATTCTTGCTGGGCCAGATCCAAAGCTGATGCAAAGTGTCATAGCACCTTCCAGCAGAAAGGATGAGCTGGATTTTCACTGCCTCACAGCAATGGGGGTTTGTCTCTGATGCAGAGCCAGTGGCAGTTGTGTGCCACATTGTCTAAAAATCAATTTTTGCTGTTTCTTATTTCTCCTGCCATTATAAAGTCAGTAGAGCTATACAAAAGAGGAAGATTCTTTTCTGATGTGTGTATCATCTCAGCTTTGTTAGAAAATTACTTCTGGTCTCACAATCAGGTAGGCAAGATTGTCACTAATCATTTCATAGATGTCATGATGGGCAAAATTTTGCCTGAGACACATGCTGTGTATACAAGAAGCCACATATAGCTCTAATGTTTTTTGGTTTGTTTTACAGGGGTGACAAAGGGAAAAAAAACCCCAACCTATTTATTTACTCATTGAGCAAACATAATTGAACACCACCAATAATGGATAACTGCAGAACCCTACTAAATGTTATTTTAATATTCTTTTTTCCAGAGCTGATATGAACTTCTATGTAGTGGTAATTTTTTTCCGGGGTAGTCTTGTTGATAATTTAGGAAAACATGATTACCATATAATTGTAATGAAGATACTTTAAAATACCTGGTAAACAAAGTAAACCAGTGTTTAGTATGTAGAAGAGATGTTACTATTCCAAAGAAAAACAACTGCAGCAAAATAGTTTTCATTTAAAATGTCTTTGGTGATGAACAAAACTTTTTCTTCTCAGCCTTCTGTGACAAAACCAGGCTTTGTTAAGTATGTAACTTTTAGGGAAGGTTTAATGTTTTAAAGATACACTCAGCTTGGTTCATATGATTTAAAATAAGTACAGTGCTTAGAAACTTTGAAGTTTCAGCTTCGTTTTTGTTAAGGGAAAGTGAAAACTACTTTGCTCTTCAGATCAGCAAGAATTATTTATTGGAAGTGAATTGATCTGTGGTGCATGGTGTGTAGGAATTGGTTTTCTTTCCTTAGAGTTTTGGGTGCAATTATCTGATAATCCTTTGTAATTTTGTGTTGGTGAGGTTTTTTAGTGTTTTAATGTTTAGTACAGCTTTTAAAATGGAGTACGTATCTAGTTAAGACTTATGGCTACTTGCCATTACAGGGCTGGCACAGAACAGTTAGCGTATACTTATGAAACTGGATTGGAGCCTCTGGTAAATGCTAGTGGGGTGTTAAAAAATAGATCTCTTGGGATTTCCTTTTTGCACATTACATGCTATGTGTTGGATTCATCTCTGGTGTATCTGTTTGGGTAACATCAGGGAACAAATTGACCCAGTTCCTTTGTCTGTGTGCTCTGTAAGTCTGCTCCCTTACTGGAAAGTGAAAAGCCCAGGGAATTCAAGTTGGATAAATGCCTAAATGCCTGTGCAGACTGTCCTGGTTCCTCAGCTGGCAAGAAAGAGAATATTTGTGTTGGAAGCCAGTATTTTAAAGCTGCTGTCCAGTTATTAATCTCTTCCAGAAATCAAAACATTGCAAAATTATTTAATACAATTTTACATTAATATGTTGTAATAAAAAAGAAAAAGCAACTCTCTGGGGATATTTAAGTGATGCCATTAATATTTTACTGAAGCTGGATCAATGGCATGATTTTCCTTTATGGAAGACAATTGTGTGATCTGTCTTCAGTGAGCTATTAGCAAGGAAACATCGGAGGAGGAAATCCTTTAGGGCTGCAAGTCAATCCTGGCTGAATTTTCAATCCAAGTGGGTTAGTTTCCTTGGTACCAACATCCTAGAGTTTGCATCTCATAAAAAACACACAGAAGACAAAACCAAAAAACCCCAAACTCCAGCCAGTGTTTTAGTTCATATGTGATTTTTGCTGATCCTAGACTAAGGAAGGGAAAGGTATGTTAGGAAATCCCTTTTCCCAGTATTTAGGGGAGAACCAGTTTTTCTGCCTTGGTCCTCAGAGGAACAAGAGGCCTGATAGGAACATGCAAGGTATGAACTTTCTGGGTGGCTTTCTTCCATTTCTGGTACTAGTAGAGATTTGGGTAGAATAAATCAATGAGAGCTAGCTGTTTGACAGATCTATAGAGAGATCGTTCAAGATGACCATCTCTGTTAGCTTTGGCATACTGAAGAGTGGCCTGCTCTCCTCGACAGAGGCCAGGCTGTTGTGGTGACCCACTCCCCTCCAGCCCTAGGGAAGTTCAAGAGTTGGCTGATGGTCCCTCAGGCCCTTGTTTTTCGCTCTTGAGTGAGTGGGACTAGCTCTCCTCAAGTATAGCAGCTGGGGAGCAATGTTCTCGAGCGACCCAGTACATTAAAACCTGATATTTCATGGAAACATAGTGTTCCTTGCAGTGCTCTTAGGAATTTTAAGGCTGGTGGGAGGACTGATGTCAGGGCTTGGGAGACCTAAAAACCCAAAACTCACTTAAGATTTGGAAATCATCTGTAGGGCAAGGGCAATCTTCATTCTTTAATTTTTTTGTTGTAGCTATTACTTGCTGCAGTAGCTGTTTTTCTTATTACTTTCTGCTGTCCTATACCATTCTTAAAACATGCATTAAATGGAATCATGGTTCCGCTGAAGTTGATGACAGTTACAGTCTCTTTATACCTGATTTTGTACAGACCTCCAGATACGCTTTGCACTATTTGGAATAACCTTGACTGTAGAAGTCAAATTTGCACTACACTAGAGCATGCTACACCAGGGTTCCTGTTGCCTGTGCTTGCTCACACACAGAGAATGCTTAATAAAGGTAGTTGGTATAGTAGGAATGATGTTTCCATTTCACTGAACGTGGCATAAGATTTATTCTAATAAAGTTATTTCAAATTAAAGACTGTGCTTGTGTGTGTTTAGGGAAAGGGTATAATTTCCTGTTCATCATTATTGCTGCAGGACACAATTTTGTGTCTTGCATAAAACAGGTCTTTTCCATTTGTCCCAGCTCAGTCATAGAGGGGTGCAGACTGACTCAGGTGGGGTGTGGTTAAGCTGTTGTGATGGGACCTCATCTGTCTTTAGCCATCCACAAGGTATAACTGTCTATGCTCCTTTTGTAGTTGAAGGAAAGAAAGAAGAGAAAGAGAGGAGTGTTTATCCCAGGCTAATGTAGGTGAAGAAGAATTGCCTAATGGAGATGCCTCTCTCTGTATCGACCATGCAAGGAACCTGGACAGCTCACATAAACTAGGCACTTCATTTATGGATGACTAGAGTCAGCTGCAATGAATTCATCAAGCCAGTGGCATATAAGCCTGACTGCTCAAAACATTGCAGAACTCTCAGACTATCTGTGTAATAGTCACACAGTGTAATGCTGGAGCCAGTGCACATTAAAGAAAACTCACTATTGTGCATGCGTGTATTTTTAACATTTAATTTTCAAAATTGTTTTAGGTTGGTGGGATTTGTGATATAAAAATGGCCAAGTGCATATATGTTTGGGCTTTTTTGTAAGTTCGAATAGTGTAAAGCAGCACCCAAGCCAGACAAAATAAGGACTAAAACCTCAGTAAATCAGTTCTGATTAAATCTTGTAAGAAAATAAAACAACTGCCAGGAAGAGCTTGTGTTTTCAATAGGTAATTATAACTCCACATGGAAAAACTGCAGTATTGTTTCTTCAGTATTGCGTAACAGCAGACACGTGTGTGGTAATTATATCTGTGCAGTATATGTGTATCTCCAGGGTGTTCTGTGGTCTTGCAGAAAACAGTGTAAGCATATACATTCCCTTAATTTTTTTCCCTCTCTTCCTCCCTCTGTAAGCTACCTCTGTCTTGTTGTGATGGACCTAGAAATACAGAAACCCCCTTCCTATTCCAAAAGAATAGAGAACACTGCAGCAGTAGATTGGTGTGAAGAAATCAATACTTTTGCAAAAATCCTTTTAATATCTCTCACAGAATATGTCTCAAACTATAGAGCAACTAGGGAAATGAAGTGCGTGAGGGAATTATGTACATACCTACAATATGAAGTTTCAACCAGCATGCTGCAGTTTTTAACATAGTGTGAAGGCACTGCAATGCAGAGAGGGGAGACATCTTGTTGCTTCTAAGAGTAAGAACTCTGGGATCGCTGGAGAGCTTTTGTAAAAAACACTTTATTCCCTTCAAGAGTAGGATATTTGAGAGAGAGAGAGCATGAATTAAAGCTTTATTTTCTTAATATTGTTTCTCTCTGGAATATAACTTCTAGTAGTTTTGTGTGAAAGACTTACTGACGGCATTTAACGAATAAGGCATTGGTCCCGGCTGAACAACTAGCAAGACTTGACAGAAGGCATCCGCCTTCTGTCTCCAAGCAATGTTGCTCCTATGTAGCTAGAGTCGTTGGGGCCAGATGAGAAAACATGGTCCTGTGCATTTTCCTGTTGTGTGCTCGCCTGTATTTGTGCTCTTTGCAATGGTATTTTTAGGAGAGTTTGCAACAAGAAATACATAGAGCTTGATGTCTGTTCAAAAGAGAAGCAGTCTGGTTTATGGCTGTGGATAATTATGTGTGGATGGATTCTTATATTTTACCATAATTAACTGGCATCTACTGAATAATTGCTGGATTTAGCTGGAGAAGGCGGGGGAGCAGCAACAGCCCTGAAGAGATTGGGAAGCCAGGGAATGAGGCGGGAATAATCTAAAGCTATCCAAAACCATTTTAATTTTTACACCAGTAGGACAGACTTGAGTTCAAGGCTCAACTCTGTTACTTGAATTGCAGATCCCTCTGAAAAAGACATGTCCCTATGTGACTCATATTTTACCTCCAGGTCTCTGATGACATGCTTGCTTTCTTTGCCTGTGTGTACCCCTTCTCTGTGTTGCCTCTGCATAGATCAGGCCAGAAATTGCTAGAAAACCACAGAACCTTGTTTTTTGCCATTTTTAAACTCAGCTGTACACTGTGATAGGAGCCATCAGTGCTGTGGTTCAAATACTGATATGAAGGCAAAAAGATCTGACTTTTCTTTACAGATGCAGTAGAAGCCTCCAAAGGAGGGTGGCTTCACTTCTTGATTTAAACAGACTCCAGTCTCACATTGCATTTCTTAGCAGCTCCATCCTTCATAAAAGATGTGAGGTGTGTTTTGCCAGGTTAGGTGATGGAGCCAAATACCTTATGGCAGTAACCAGAGCAGTTTCTGTCAAGTGTCAGTATATGTAAGGGAAGAAGTCATGTACATTTTGTGGCAATGTGGCAGTTCCCTAAAGTCCTTTTATAGCAGCCCATCTTCCTGAAATGAGAAGAGGTCTTTGGCAAGTGTTACTTGTCAGAATTGAAGAGTAAAAAATGAAGCCTATTTCTTAACAGTGGTTGTCACCAGCTTCTGTGTAATAAATTAACTTGTTTTACAAGCACCAAAAGCACTCACATTTTGGCTTTAGCAACAGCTTTTTGTAATGTTGAAAAGTAGTCAAGTACATGGTAAGCTGTCTGTCTCATGAAAACCTTAACAGGTTTAAAGCACTGTTTCTAATCTAAAATCCAAAAGACTATGCTTTCAGCTGGCAAATCGACAGTATAAAACATTCCTTGACAGGTTCTTTGGCAAAATAGGTTGTATAAGTAGTACAGTGGCACAGTACAGTATTTACTCCAAAACTGAGAAGCAACCCTAAAGACTTTTAAATTTTTTTTCTTTTCTTTCTTTTTTTTTTTTTTTTTTTTTTTTTTATAGGTAGCTCAGTTGTCTTGGATTGAAAAGAAAGTAGCTGCTGCTCTCTTTGGGACTCCACCAACTTCAACAATAGAAGAAGCATTGCAGAATTTCCTTAAGGTAAGTCCTAGCCAAGGGTTTTCCTGTGTGACTGTTTACCAGCTGCTGTGACTGTTGTCAAGATGTCTGTTCAACAGGTTGTGTTCAGTAGCTATAAATCCAGGGCTCTCCTAAATACCACAGAGCACTCTACTAAAATATTTTTTTTCTATTTTAAAATTAGTTTGGAGATAGTAGCTAGCACCTTTCTTCTTCTTTAGTTTTAGGGAATTCTTCAATGACTTGCCGTGGTTAATAGTATTGGATTTAATGTGAGATGGATATAGATTAATTATATATGCCATTGAAACAAATTAACCATAGTGATAACTGGCAATTTGCCCGTTTCTGCAAGAGGGTTAACATAGGCAAGGAAAACTTTGACATTGTGATATGTCTCTTTCTGATCTGAAGCTCTTTTAATTGAATTTCAGTAGAAGCCTTTCTTGCTTGTGGAGATGAAATTACCTTTGTAGTGAAGTAGAAAAGAAAGCTCTATCATACAGGTCCACGTTCCTGGGCATTCTACTTGAATGCACAGTTATGAGAACACACCACATGAACAAAACAAACCTCTCTTTCAGTGTCTTTTATATGAATAATTTCTACTTCTGGAGCTGAAAAAGACATGTTTTTCACTTGACTGAATGCAAAGGATAAACTTCCATCATTACAATTACTTTCAGACAGTTTCTCAAAGGAATTGAACAAGCATGTTTTCTTCACTGTCAAAAGTGCTTGTTTTCTGTGTTCTTAGTCTATTTAAAGATGGAATGATCTCCTGAATTTTGGAAATACAATGGTCCAAGGATTACCATCTTCCCAGTTTAAGAGACTTTATCTTCAATGTCAAACTCTGAAGGTGGTAGAAGTGTTTTAGCTTCAAGGCATTTTGTGGTGGGCTGCAGAGTAACTGTGGTTTTAAGGCATCTTCTGCAACAAAAATTAAATTACTGTCTGAAAAACAACTGTTTGGGGGGGGGGGTTCAAATGTTTGACAATACACAGTTTTGGTGAAAGCAGCATTGCTTTGGTCCAAGGATTACAGCTACTATAAATTTCACTCATGTAATTTTTCTCTCCCAAAAGCTGTTTGTTGATTAAAGCTGCTTCTTGGTTAGTAGATAATTGGTAAGGTTTTTACTCACCTTTCAAGCTTCTACATCCTTGATGTGTTTTAAACGGAAGACAATCTTGAACTTTTTTAACAACCTGAACTTTTCAGAAGATCGTAATGTGAAAAGAAATGTGAACACAGAGCTAGAAGATATGGGTCTGTGAAAGAAAAATAATTATAAAGTTCATGAATACAGTTCATTACCCATTACACAAAGTGTGAATGGTTGGTTGCTTGTTTATTTCTTTGATGAGGAAATAAATATTAATAATCCAGAGAGAGCAGTGTCTTCCAACCCCCTCTGTAAGTGAATGGATCCAACAGATATTCTGTAAAGTGATCCGATATCTTTACAAAGCACTTAGGGAGAGGAGAGCAAGCAGTACAGAGCATTTTTATGTGTTCAGTATCAGCACCTCATGTGCCTGGTTTAGGGTTTGAGTTTGGGGTTTTCTTGTTTTCTTGAGGTTTTTTTGAAGTGCTAAACAGATTGTGGTGCACATAGTAGGGATGATTCAGTCTGATGTTTGAGGAAGCTTAGTGCATTACTAAAAATGTTATGCAGACCACATAAATCTCATCACACAAGTTTTATGTCTATTTTCTTTCCTGTTTTTTATTATTTAGGCAGAAGAAATGCATCCAGGATATTCCAAATGCAATTACGTGTATTTGGCAAAGGTAACCAAGTTCTTTTAAAAATAATGATTTGTAGACTCTGGTATTCTTACAGTGGTCTGATTGGAAACAAAATGTTTTTTTCTTCTCAGTGCTATAAAGATCTTGGCCAGAAAAACAATGCACTGAAGTACTGTGATTCTGCACTGTCAATTCTCTCAGTTTCTAATGAGGTGCGTATTGAGAGTGATAAGTTGTTCTCTTGTGACTGCTGTCTTGTCTTTGGCACCCATTATTGCACTGTCAGTAATAACATAATGTTTCACTTTTTCCCCTGAACACAGAACCTTCCTTTTTCTTCCACTCTAGGTTGGCTCATTACAGTTGTCTGTATTAACAGCTTTAAAAAAATCTTTGTCTTGGGAACTGTCAGGGACTTGTCTGTGTTAGAGGCTGTCAGAAACTGAATTGCATTCTTTGTACAACCCATTTCATTACACTATCTTAAGCATAAGCAGTTGAGTGTGTCACTTTAGCTGTGCTGAAATTTTGCCCCAAACCTACTTTTTCTCAGTTGAAAGCATTCTGGATTTTTGTCCCATAGTCTCTGTCTCTGCTCCTGAAAGCCTCTAGTTTGTGTTAGCTATAGCAGAGGTAGATGAGTTATTCAAGATTGCCTTTGTCTTCAACCACAGTGCAGTTAAGGAGGCACAGTTCTTCCAGTTACATCTGCTGGAATATAGTTTATTCTAAGAGATTATTAGATTCATTTTTAGGCCCTTTAGAGTATTTTTAGTATATGGATGCAAATTTCTACAGATATTTGAGAGATTTTAAGTGATGTAATTTCTCAAATATAAACCAAGTCATGGCAAGAGGTTCATTCTGTCTGATCTCATGTAGAAGCAAGTTCCATAATTACCGACCCATGGCTGGAAACGTCTTACCATCCCAGAGTGTGACAAGTTCAAACCTGAGCTTTGTCAGCCTAAGGGACCCCCTTTGAGCACAGCAGATGTGGTAGGGAGAGAGAGAGGTGATTCCAGAGACGAATTGGCCCTATCCCATTTAATTCTTTGAAGTTAAGGAAAAAGACCATTAAATAGATCTGTAACTTGATTGACAATAAATGCTGTGTGTGGAGCAGTAACATGTTTATGTCAAGTATTCCTGCTGGGAAGAAAGACCACTGCATGCCTCACCAGCAGCTGCTCCTGGGTGGCCTTTATTTTTGGCCCAAGTTATAGTATGTACCAATCATAAATTAAACAATAATTGCTTAAGTTCAATGTTTCTTTAAATATGTATTGATACAGATATGACATTAATAGTCTCTTAACTCTGCTTTATTCTTTACTTACTGTTGAAATGTACCTTCGGCTTGCCTATTACAGAACATAGGAAAGACTGCTATAAATTACCTGTTATTTGGTGCCTTACATCTTTGCATAAAAAGTAGGACCAATGGTGTAAGGGAGAGAGCATACAACTGAAATTGCTTGAACTCAGCCTGTTTTGTATATATCTGCACTGACTGCGCTGGTGAATTTTTTGGTTTTCCTGTATTCAATTTACTACAGGCCAGGTAATCTTGCAATGAACTCTGAAGATATCTGGTAAAATCGCAAACAAACATATATCACAGAAACTTCTGATGGGCAGAAGACTGTGTTTAGTAAACTGGAAGTCGTTCAACATATTCATAAAGACTCCTTGAAAAAGTGTAGAGATAGAGATAGCATAGATTAGGATTCATCTTTGATAACAATAGCTGGACAAAATTTTGGTGACCAAAGGTAGTTGCTGAGGCTCCCCCTACACTCGGTGGAAAGAGATAGATGCATCCAGGTGACCCACCCTGCCTCTCTCTGTCCCCTGACAGCAGAGAGAGACTAGATGTGAAGGTATGTGTAAGATGTGTACCTGAGACACCTGACTCCTAGACTGTGCAGTTAATGAGAGGTGAATCCTGCCTTTAAAGTCCAGTGTCATCAGTCTAAATGTGAGCTGGAGTTCAGTGTGTCCTGGGCCACCTGGAGCGGCTTAGTCCCTGGTAAAAGGAATGCCCCATCACATTTCTGAAGTACCGGCAGACCTGAGAAGGAGGGGGGACCCTGAGGTGAGAGCTAGAATTTGGGAGCAGCCTGAAGGGTGTGTGTGTGTATTCTGGCAAGCAGGGTGGTGATGAGAATAAGAATGATACTGGATTGTGAACAGAAGAAATAGCAGCAAATGGACCCCCAAAATCTTTTGTCCATCTGAAGAGGACAAGATGATATGTCCTCTTCTGTTTTGACTAATTCTATAGATATCACAGATTTGTCTGCTTTGTCTTGTTTACTTGTGATGTGTTTTGAGTTAAGTTTAGAAAAAAAGAAAGTCCAGGAAAATATGGCATTGGGGCAATAGTGTGTAATTCAATTTAAAAAAAAAAAAAAAGGCAGTTAGCACAAGGTAAAACCACGTGCATGCTCAAAGGAATTACTATAAAATGGAGATCTGGAACACAAACTCTGCTGATGCTGTTACCTCAAGTCCCATCTGAATTAGAATATTACATGTTGCTTTGGTTATTGTGTTAGAGAAAGACTGTTACTGATTTTAGGGGGAAACATGTTGGAACTGAAGTGGTTCAGGGCTTGGAGCCATACAGAGGAATAACATTTAGTCAGGTTAGTTTAAGGGAGGGAAAAGACTGTAATAAGACTAAAGAGACATTGGGGAGACAGTAATAAACAGATGCTGTTAAAGTGCCTGAATTGACTACAGCCCTGGAAAAGATGGCGTTCATGATCTGAAAAAGAAAACGCAGGTCAGCAGCAGTCTGAGGATTTCTTTCAGTTTGCCACAGCACAGGATCTCCAGGTTGTCAGCAGCATGGTATGTTGTCACAGTCATGCAAAACCATCATTCCCAAGTGCAATCATAGTTTCTCATGTGAGTTTTCTCTCTTTCTTCAGGCAGGGGAATTCCTTTATTGTTTTAAAATGTTGGCTTCTACTGAGAAACATGTATATGTATAAAGGCATAAAATCAGGAGCAGGCTGAGAGAACAAAGTTGCTGGAAAGGTGCCACATTGAGGAAATGTATAGTATTTCATGATACAAATCATCCTGCAGCATAAGTATGAAAAATAATAGTAGACAGTGGTTTACTTTTTATTGCTTCTGAGCATCCACAGTTTCCAGTGACTTCAGTGGGAACCAGAGGTGCTCGGCATCAGTAAAATAGCCCATAGCTCATTTTAATCCTCAGGTCAAATTCTCAGCTGGTCTAACTCAGGGCACTTCTTTGACACTTTGTCTAGGATTCATTTTATGTAACATTTCAAGTTAAGTGAGATTACTTTGTCTTGAATGTTGTATCACATCCAAATATCCCTTCTGTGTGTCTGTTCTACCACTTAGAGAATATCTTTTTAATTCAAGGGGTAGAGGGGCTTCCAAACAGAGGTAATTCTTGTTAAGGGAAAAAAAAAAAAAAATCAGATGGCCAGTTTCAACCCTATTATGAACCTAAAAAAGGATACCAAAGAAATCATAAAAGGAGAGACAAATTCTGATTGAATGACTCCTGTAAGTCCTAATACCAGTTTTTAAAAATAGTTTGGCACATTTTTAACTAATCAGTCCATGCATTTTTTTAAGTTTAAAAGGAAATACAGGAGATTTGGTGCAAATTACAACTGGAAAACTAAACTGATGTTACAGTAGAGACCTCTCTCTTTAGCCTCTCTACTTTAAACAAAAACCTCCAATGAATCATGCGGTCCTTCCTTGGCCATAAATACTGTCATACTGTGGAGTGGTACTTCACTGCTGGAGGTGCACAGGACATAAAATTGTCCTGCTTTTCTCTGGTTGCTGTCCAGGCGGATAATCTCAGGGTCCTGGGAAACATTCACCCCTTCAGTAAAAGAGATCCTAATGCTCAGGGCTGCTGTGAGTTACTGTAAAGTGCATAACAGCTGCTCTGTTTATCTAGTAGATGTTGCATTACCCTTACTGAGACTCATTACTTTGTAGCACACTCAAAGCCTTGGTGAGTATGACTACATGAAAGGCTGTCAAAACCAGATGTGGTGGACTACTGTGATTGGAAAAAAATTACTTTTTTAAATTTTAGGAGAAAAGTGTAATTTAAATTTGAAAACATGAGCATTTGTCTTGCATATAGAAAGACAAAATGAATGGCTGTGTGTCTACGCTTGATTAAACACATAGCGCTTTGTATGTAAGGGGAATAAGACACTAATTTCTTGTTTATAACAAAGATTGTTGGGTATTTTCAAGGCTGGAACTTGTAGAAAATTAAAGTCTCAGTGTAGAATTATAAAGTATAATAAGAAATTATTTTTTCTTGTATCTGGAGATGAGCATGGGCATCAGAGTGAACTCTGTGCTTGTAGGACCCATAAGCTCACCACAAAGGGATAACAGCCTAGCAGAGGAAGAGATTAAAATTTCAAGGTTCTGGTGTCTATGATATTTTTTGAAAATTAATCTAAAAAGCAGCAGTTACATTACAAAAAAATGTAGTCTTGGAAGAGCTGAAGACAGCAAAGCAGGAAGAATGCAAAGCAAATCTATTTGCACTGAGAGTTGCTGAAAGTCTTACTTAAAATGCAGATAAAAACTTCCCTGAAACTGAGCATGTATTTTACAAAATTATTGGTGATTTAAAAAAAAAATCTTAATTTCAAAACCACTCCTTCCTACCCAGCAATTACAAATGAAGGCAATTTAGTGTTGAAATTAACAAGTGAAAGAGATTTAGATATTACAGAATTGATCGTTATGGCATTCACTTCCAACAGGTGTAGAATGGCAAGAAGCAGAGACTTGTTAGAGACTCTGCCTTTGGCCCCAGCGACATTTGAAACTCTAGAAAAGCCCATGTGGAGGAGGAAGTAAATGTAATAATGGGCAGGAACAATGGCTGAATGTTTACAAAAGAATACAGCTGCTGAAGAGAAATCATGGCCTTAAGATGTTCTTACATTTTTTTTACATCGCCATAATTGATCTCCCTGGTCATTAATTTACATTTTTAATATTGTCTGTAAGGAAAAAAGTGGGAGTTACAGAGGGATGGAAGAGAGGACAGAGTATAAACTTCAGCACCCATCAGTTGTTCCTGTTACAACAGACCATTTACATATCTTGAATTTTCCACAACAGATTTTGAGGAGAAAAAAGTAATTTACTTCTGCTTTTCAAGTGAAGGGTACAAATTATGACTTGTTTGTGGAAAAAACTACCCATCAAAACTATGTGAATAATTTGGGTTAACCTTATAAAATGTTTTTGTTTTCTCATCAAACAGAACATTTTCTTTTCTCAACATCATCAGGTCAATACAAAATGTCATTGTTTTCAGAGGATATTTGTTCCTTTAGATTTTGTGCACATTTGTCCTCCAAATGCCAAGCAAAAGTCTATGGTGTTTCAGTTACAAAATAATGGAAATATTCAGATTTGTGTTCATTTTGAATTCTAGGCTATTGTTTTCCTGCGAATACTGTTTGTGGAGCTGAATAAGAATTTCCTAATAGCTACCACCAATCCAAAATTAAAGTATATTCTGAATATACTTTAAATAACTATTCCTTAATTAGTGATTCTGTTTACACTGAATATGAGTGCTTCAGGCTCAGGAAATGGGCCTTTTAAAACCTCATTATAAAAAGATCAGATTTCAAACTGTAAAATGCTGGTAAAAATGAGACATTTTTAAAAGAGCTGCTAGAAGAATTTGAGACATCCTATATTTTACATTATTTTGCACTTCAGAGAATGCAGTCTGTTTTTCTCTTAATGATCAGACTGATTTGTTGTCTGCATGTTTTTGAAGTTCTTGCCAAAAGGTTTGTTTGCATTGTCTGCTTATTCTTTCTCCCTCTCCAAAAACGATTCCAAAAAATGAAGCTATCTTTTTAGTGCAGTAGTTTCATACATAAGGATAAAGTCTATCCTGATAAATACTGAGCTGCTTATATTTATGATTAAATTGACTAGTTTATCACAAAGTATTAATTTCAACATCCTATCAAAGGTAGCATGGTTTTGGCATAGTTCTTAGTGCAGCTAGACTGATCAACAGATGATTCCTCAAAGCGTGGAGTGTATCTCTTCCGCTGGTGTGCTGATGTTGCAGGGGCAGAGTGGGAGAAGTGGTCATGGAGGTGGTCGTGCACTGCAGGATGAAGAGGTTCACAATTGGTTTCCTGTTTTTGTAGAGTGGCCAGGGGAAGTCAAGCTTCCAGAAGTTTGAAACATATTGTCTCAGAATCAATATATAGGGTGAAGGAAAGCCTCAACAGGCATCTTTCTGAAGGGCTTGTAACTGGGTGTGATCATGTTTAAGCCATTTCAGTGATGACTACACAGAAAGAAGGGCTGTAGGTCCCATCGTGGTGGCGGCGGCAGCTGGACAGAAACAGGGGAATGTCTTGAACATCAAAAGCTCCGCATTGTGTACAATAGTAAAAGGAAACCAGATTACAGGTGAAACTTTGTCTTTTAAGTTAGAAAAGAACTAGTGTATAAAAATTTTACGTGACTTAATTATTCTAAATTGAATTCTGCCATTTGTAATTTTTCAACAGCAGTCTTCGAACTAGCTCAACTGTTTATTCAGTCTTCCGGGTGCGAAAGGGTGTTTTTCCCTCTACTTGAAGTATAATCAGGAAATGTGGAATTATTGTCAGCTACGTATTTTAAAGCTGTGCTTGCCTTGATCCTAAAAGCTTTGAGAAGTCATGGTTCATCCCCAGAGGAAGATCCTAAGAATATGAAAAAGCATAAAATGCTCTAACTTGTGACGTACAGCAGTCACATAGAAGGTTGCAAGTAGATGATTGCATTGTTTTATTGAAATATCTAAGGGGAAAAACAGTATTATGCAATCGTATGCAAATTAACACCTACTACAGTCACACCCTCTGTAAGAGTCTATCATGAAACTGAGAAGGGATAGCATATAGTTTTATATGATTTATATTGTCCACAAGAGTTATTACTCTCTAATTAACGATCCTTATGCCTGTTTGGGAGTCTCTTCTGTTACAGTCCAGGATTTCTCCTGGAGCTGAGAAGGAATGATACAGCTGTACCCAAAATCAGGGGTGGCTCTCAGCACGTCGTTGCTGTTACTGCATATCAGACTACAGCTTTGGACCACCCTTGCAGCCCAGCTCATTTAATATACCGTGCAGTGCCGCTGACTTCAATGAAACCCTACAGGATGCTTGTCAGCTTGGGATTTGGCAGTGGTTGCACACAATTACATTATTGGCTGGTGTAACCATTTTGGTTGTGGTCATGGGGGTGTATCATTCTCTGTTGACAGTTGGGACTTTGTCAACAAGTGCACACATGTGCAGTGCCTGGGTTGAGAGTGCATAAGGAAATAATTAGCAGAGATGGAAGGTAAAATCATTATCTTTCTGTCTCTGCTTTAATTGCCATTTAATTTTCACATGCACTTTTACATGTGTATGTCTGTGTGTATATATATCTATCAGTAAAATTTTTCAGCAGAAATTAACTGTCAAAATGTGGACTACCTCCAGTTAAGCCAACATTCCCTTTGTCCCACCAGCTCTCTCTTCCGTCTTGCTCTTGTTTTCAACTCCCTCTTTTCCCTTGTTCAGTCCCTGGCCTCCCAGGTCTTTTTTTCCTGTGCATGTCCCCTGTGGATGATGAAACATAAAAGAAAAGCAACTAAATAGGAAGAGGGGAAAATAAGTCACTGACCCTGTAATTTGAATACCTTTTGTGTAGCAGTTTGCAGAACAGTTTGAACTCATATTCAACTCTGAAAATTATATGAGAAGTGTTTAATAAATGTAAGCCTTGACAGTAGAAAGGCAAGATTGAAAATGGCCGTGTATTCAGTCAGCGCTGAACTAAGCCTCAGGGTGAACAAATGGGATTGATGCAAATATATTGCATTCCTCCTGTGACTTGCACCTCTTCCTCTCCCTGCTGCACTCTAAAGGGAGATCAAAGCCTGCCAGTCTTAACCCCCCCCCAAAAAAAAAAACAAACACAAAAAAGTCGACCTTATTGTTAATTTTTAGAAAGCCACAGACCCAGAAATCAATGAGGAAGAAAGTTGGCCAAATAAGAGATTTATGGCTTTGTCTTCCCATTAACAGCCAAACTTTGGGCATTAATGAAGTTTTCATCCTTAAAACTGGAGACTGGTACACTGAACAGAGTTGTGGCTTCTCTCCTTTTAGCATGACACGCCTCTTGGTCTGGAAGGACTTTATCCAAAGGTGACATAATAGTTCCCTTCACAGACCATTCTCAGCTTTGTTTTTAATGCCATTGTTACTGATTATTTTTTTTTTATGCTTTTGCCATCTGAGTTCTTACTGTTGACAGGAAGCCACTGGCTCAATTAAAGCAGCCCATTAAGTAGTTTGCAACAATAATAATTCTTGCTTTTACTGATGTAGTCTTGTTCAGAACTGGCAACCCACAGGTAGGATGCTTTGCACGTTCACAGCTTCTTCTCTAGCTAGTTCTTAGAACAATCATGGGTTTGCTTCATTCTTTTTTCTAAGCCCAGAGGAAGATTCAGGAAAGATTGCCCAATATTTCTGGGACCTTTGCAACTCGTAAAGCTCATTGCCCAATATAATCTTTTGCTTCTAAGGAGAGAGACAATTATACAAAGTTGTTCGGAGACATATTTTTTAAATGCTGTATCCTGCAAAATGAGTAAAGGATCCCATCAACCCATGAAATGCTGAACACCGTTCATATATTAGGAGACCCGCTTCTTTATCATTTTTGGCTTAGAAAAGCGTGAAAAGAGTAGGACCAGATACAATGAAACCTTTTTCATTTTCATAATACCATGGGACAATATCTGGCTTTTTTTTTTTTTTTAATGAAGTTCGTAATGATTTTCACAAGTTGACTACAGTCAGTACAGAAAAAAGTGTATTTTCCCTGAATGAATCAACATATTAATACAAATTTTGAGTTTTCCAATTTTTATTGAAAGCCACGGGCTGGTGCTCCAGGCAGCCTGGAGTGATGTGGAGTTTAAGGGGTGCTCAATTCAGTGTGACATTTCCTTCAGTTAAGAGTATTTTGGCAAAAGCTTACTGGCTGTGCAGTGTGTGCCTTTAAGGCCTCTGATAAATGATTAGGCAGATAGTTTAGCCTATTGTTGCCAGTGGGACCAAGGCAGTGACTCCAAGAGAAGTGTCCAGCTAATGTATTAATGCCTTAATCCAGACCAATAATGTAATATAGTTTGACATGTCTGGCATATGGTTTCTATCATCTCAATATTCTTCTCTATTCCTCCATGACATTATGGACAACTAACCAAAATAAAGAGAAGCAGGAATTTCTTCACCCATAAAATGTATTTTAAAATGTTCCGTATTTTGTTCCAGCTCTTTGGTTGATTGGATAATGAAGTGATCCTGAAATTCAGTGATTACTTTGCTGTCTGTCTACAGTATTTTCTTTCAGAATTGCCTGTGGTGTTATCTGGGAAAGAAATACTGGTCTCTGTCATTAGAAATACTTGCATAAAATTTGTGATGTGCAAGTGCTTTTCACTTGCACTGCTAAGTATGCATGGGTGCATGCATTGGGTGTCTGGACCCTTACCAGCCTGCAGCTATGAGGTGCTGACTTTTTAGAAATGTGGTTTTAAACCAGGGTGCATTTTGCAAGCTAGAAGTTTTGCAGTGGCAAGTAAAGCAAGTGAATTATATCCAGGAGACATTTCAAAAATAAGTAGAATAATGGAGTTTTTGTACTGTGGTTACATGTTCATATGCATGTACCCCTTTCCAAACAGATTATACATGGAATAACCAAAACATATGTCACTGGTTACCTGTGAAAGAGTCTGTGGGCTGGATTTGGTTTAAAGCCCCATGCAGACTGCGCACTTACACACTGGCCTAAAAGGAGCCTTTCCCTTCTGTCCTAGGAGGTATAATATAGTGTTGGCTCTGAGCATAGCAAATTATTCGCTTCTTGCTCCCCAGTTGGCTCCACTCTGCTATGAGCCCAGTAGCGTAGGCAGAGCCCACCAACACCAGTATGGAAGACACCGAAGGTGTAGTCAGTCCATGGTGGTTATTACAGGTAGGTATGGCTGTATGCACTGAAACCATAATCTAACCTATGTCATTAATTACATTTCCCAATGTTTTCTTCTTAATTGCATAATAAATAATTAGTAAACATCATGGAAATATCTTTATAGAAACTGCACACAGGCGGGTTGCAAGCTTTACGTAAAGTATAAGGCAAGGCAGTACTTTATGCAAAGTACACCAATAAAAGTTACGGCCTAAGCTGAAAGGTTTACTGGTCTGCTGAGAAGGCTATTTGTGCCTAACATTTTAAGTTCTTTAACAGAGCTGTAAAGAGAGGGCTGCCATCTGGCTCTTGTTTTCACTTCAAACTTTATTTTTGCAATCACTGATAAATTAACTTACTATGCAGTCTTGTACATTCTGTGGCTGTTACAGTTGTATGTTATGCCTGTTGTTAGTAAAGAAATATGGATAGGCACGCATTAGGCAAATTAAGAGATTTATCCTATCTAAGTTGATGCATGATTGTCTGTTTCTTTCAGGATAAAGAGGCCCAGAAGGACTTAGAAGCTTTACTTCTTACACTGAAGCTGTGATACTACGCACTTTTTAACTCTTCACGCCGTGATAAAACGGCAAAACTAAAATGAGAATCTATAGTGACTGGGAACTGCGGGTGAATTCCAGCTAAGTCAGTGGGAAAACTGTCATTGACTTCGGTTGGCTTGGATTGTGGCAATTATGATATGAAAATGATGCATTCATTTTTGATTATTTATAATCTTGTACTGAAGTTTAATTTTAGATTGCTAACACTGTGAGTCTGATTCTCTGAACATGAAGTCCACTGCTGGCAATGGACATACTGGATGTTAGAATGCAAAATGCATAAATCTCACTCTTTGAAAGATTAATCGACTAGTATGCGATGCCAGCATAGAACTGTGTGTAGCAAAAACAAACAAAACAATGTTTCTATAGTAAATTATATTTGTATCAACTAATTTACACAGATGTGTACAGAAGAAAATCATGAATGTTTATGTTTACATGTTTCTCTACTCTTATAAAATTAGACTCTTGTTGAAGTTTAAAAAAAAAGCTGTTGCCTCCACAAAGCTCTTTTTACTTTAAACCTACCGTTGGTTTTACACAGAAATGTGAAAACTTTATAAATTAAATATTAAAGTTATATTTTATTTGTAACATCAAGTACTATATTAAAAATCAGACCAATGAAATTGAGTGTTTTAGATTAATCTATTACAGCTGTGATGTTTAATGGATTTGTTATAGGACCTCCACCAAGTTTGTGAATCCTGGCTCTTTCTCTTTGAACAGTTGCCTAGCATGATGGCATCAGCGTATCTTCGGAGAACCTGGTCCAGCATGTGACCATCACTAACCTTTTATATCATCTATATAACAAAACCTGTACATAAAAATAGACTAATTAAAGACCTACTGCTTCTGTCTGAGTGTGTAGGACAGCAATGTTTTCAAGAAAATGTAACAGGTAGGGAAAAAATTTTGTTCACCAACAGACTGATCCAGAAATCACCAAAGTCTGTAGAAAAATAAAGGCCAGTTTTCGCTGGCTTTTAACTCAGGACCTTAATCTAGATTCTGGGAGCGTATCCAGAAGAAGTAAGCATTTCTGTTAAAGGAAATACAATTGGATAAGGACAACTGCATGTTCGCTTGACCTATTTGAAGTGTAAGATAACATGGACCAGTTTATGGCTAAGACAAGGAGGACTCATATGGCATGAATATATTGAACTAGCAATTGGGGGTTTAATTTTGGACAGATGGGGAGCAGTGACATTAGCAAGAAGGAACTAGTCATGGCAACAGAGATCTAAAAATTGGGCAGATGTGAAGAAGTATGTATACATATGTGGCTGAAGCATCTCATAGTAAGTGAGCTTTAACTACCAACAACAGAAGGCAATACATGCAGTAGCCTGAAACAAAACAGGTAGAGTTACAGGTGTAGAGTTACGTTTGAATTTAGCCTGACTCCATGACTCCAAGTACAGAGATTTATTTTCATAAAGCAGGGCTGTCCATTTTTTTCAAACATTTTCTTTAAAAATATGTTTTCAGACATGCAAACATTACTGTGAGATAACTCTGAACAAAATCTGAAAGTTCAGAACTGTTCTGAGTTCTCACTGTTAGCTCAATGGTTTTCATTATCCTGAAGATCTTCACAAATTGAAATACGTATTTTAGTAGTTTTTAATGTTTGCTCTGAGGGAAAATAGTTCCTATAACTTTTTCAATTCCAGAGTTCTCTTTTTCATACATGATTTCAGAGAAAAGATGAAATACCATATGAGATAAATCCTATCAAATAATTCCTTCTGTGACAGAATAATTGACTTGTGAACAGAGAAGCTGCAAAGGTGATGCATCTTGATTTTGGTAAGGGGCTTTCGGTAAAGACTGTGTTTGACATTTTCATAGCCAATGCAGGAAGCATAGTTTAAATGGATCTAGAACAGTGATTTGTACTTAGGGTTGTTAGCAATTCACTGTCGCCTAGGAGGATGTAATAAGAAGGCCTTTACATAGATCAATTTTATGCTAATTGATATACTTTGTAAAATAGATTGGATTATGCAATAGATATTTCATTTCCAAGCAATTATTGCCAATAAATGCTGAAAGTGTATCAGAGGAATAGATTAGAACAAGAAGTTATTTAAATTAGTTGCTGAAATTAGGTGACATAAGTAGGATTTACTTCATTAAAGGCAAATAGAAAGTATTCAATTGAAGTAACAGAGGATGGAGGAGACCTGGCTAGTTATGGTAATTCTGTGGAAAAAGACGTGCAGATTCCAGTGAGTGGCAAGCTAATCATGGGTCAATAATGTCATGGTTTTGTGAAAAAAGCAAATTTCATACTAGACTGAATAAATAAGCATTCCCCATTAAATTCACATGAAATAACCTTTTACTCTAATTAGGCCTAATAAGGTCTAATGAGGTCTGAGCTGGAATACTATATCCAGTTTCAGGCATCACGTTTCTAGGAGATTGGGGGCTAATTGGAAAGAGTCCAGTGGAGAGACACAAGAAAGATGAGAGTGCTAGACAACATCATTTTGTGTGTAAAAATTGAAAGAATTTCTTTTGTTTAGTCTGCAGGAGCAATGACTAAAGGAGTATTCACATTTTTAAAAAGCTATTGCTGAAAAGAC